CACTCCCCCTGCTTGTGTTCCCTCTCTCGCTGTGTCTCTCTTTGTCAAATAAATAAAATTGTTTGGAAAAAAACAAAAAGCTTGGTATTCTGTGATGGATTTTTATCGTTCCTTGAGTAGTAACATGTGTAAATATCGAATCTCTGAATCTCAGCAATAATAATAATAATATAATTCAAAGTAATAGGAGGAAGGTTGTTCTGAATTAGTGAGACCTAAATTTAAGAATAGATGTTTTATTCTTTCATGCTCAATGAATAATATGAGTTAGATTAGTAAATTAGTAAATTACCTTTTTAGGTAAATTTCTCAGTTTTCTAGTGGGAGGTATGAACTCATAATCAGGAGTGATTTCACAACTTTCTTTCCCCAGTTTTACTGAGCTATAACTTACACGCAACACTGTTGAGTTTAAAGTGTTTAGCATAAGGATTTGACTTACATATACTGTGAAATGATTGCCACCATACGTTTGGTTTTAACATCCATCGCCTCATATAGATACAAAAACAAAAAGAAGTGTCGTTTTTTTTCATTGTGATGAGAACTTTTAGGATTTAGTCTCTTAACAACTGTGAGATATACCATACAGCAGTGTTAACTGTGGTCATCATGTTGTATATTACATCTCCAGGGCTTACTTATCTTTAATTGGAAGTTTGTACCTTTTGACCACCTTCATCCAAATTCCCCCCCCCACTTTGTAACCATAAATCTAAGTGAGATCATACATCGTCTTCCTCTGTCTGACTTACTTCACTTAGCATAATGCCTTTGAGGTTCATCCATGTTGTGGCAAATGGCAGGATTTCCTTCCTTCCTTATGGCTGAATGGTATTTTGTTGTATATTAACAGTTGTTTATACAAAACCTGTTACTGTATGTGAAGCTGCTTTTCCTGGGTCTTAGGGCTGAAGTTTTGATACTGTCCTCCTCCTACTTTCCTTTAGGACTCACTTACGAGTTCTTGTTTTTTAAAAAACACACATCTCCATGCGCATGTGTGTGCATGTGTGAGCATGTGCACATATGTATCAGGGTAGGGAAAGGGTATTGAGGACTGCTGTCCTAAGGAGTTTGGGTCTCAGAGGATCCTTGAATATCATAAAATTGAATCTTTTAGTCTAAAAAGGTTGCTGTTAAGGAAAACAAACATGCTCTTTCAGAGTCCGTGGTAAAGAGTACTGAGCCAAGGGGCGCCTGGGTGGCTCCGTTGGTTAAGCGACTGCCTTCGGCTCAGGTCATGATCCCAGGGTCCTGGGATCGGGTCCCGCATCGGGCTCCCTGCTCGCCCGGAAGCCTGCTTCTCCCTCTCCCACTCCCCCTGCTTGTGTTCCCTCTCTCCGTGTCTCTCTCTGTCGAATAAATAAATAAAATCTTAAAAAAGTACTGAGCCATATGGATTAATCATGTATAATAATTTTTTCCCCTGGTGCACACAGAGACACAGCTTAAATGGTTAAGTCACAGGCAAGATGGGAAAAAAATTCTTTGAAGGTTAGATTCTGGATTTTCTTAGACGTCTGTGGTTTTCTAATTCCTAAAATTGTTCAAGCCCTAAAAAAATCCTTTTCCATTGTTTGCCCATACTATCTTAGAATATTAAGTTCCTAGTATTGAATCCTTAACTTTTTTTCTTTTGAACTTGCCTCAAGTCTTCTTCCAGCCTTTTTGGAGTAGAGAGTCCTTTTTTTTTTTTTTTAAAGATTTTTATTTATTTGACAGAGAGAGAGACAGCGGGAGAGGGAACACAAGCAGGGAGAGTGGGAGAGGGAGAAGCTGGCCTCCCACCGAGCAGGGAGCCCGATGCGGGGACTCGATCCCAGGACCCTGGGACCATGACCGGAGTCGAAGGCAGACGCCTAACCACTGAGCCACCCAGGCGCCCCAAGAGTCCTTCTTAATATCTTTTTTCTTTTTAATGTCAATCCCCCATCTTCCTTGCTCTAATCTGGATCTTTTCCAATCCATTTTATATTTATGAGGTGTATCAGTCAGAACTATGACCATGTTTGGGCACACTGTAGCCTTATATGAAGATAGAATGTGATGGTCTTTTTATTTTTTAGTTTTTAATGCCTTTCTTCATTTCGTGGTTTTTCAGTATTTTATTGGTTTCCTCATCTCCAAATTAAAGTGTTCACTGAAGTCTACAGGGAATTCCTAGGTCCTTTTTGTAGATTAAGAACTATAGCTTTTTTGGGATGCCTGGGTAGTTCAGTTGGTTAAGCGTCTGCCTTCGGCTCAGGTCATGATCCCGGGGTCCTGGGATCAAGTCCTGCGTCAGGCTCCTTGCTCGGCGGGGAGTCTGCTTCTCCCTCTCCCTCTGCCCCTCCCCCTGCTTGTGCTCTCTCTCTCTCTCTCTCTCTCTCACAAGTAAATAAATAAATAAAAATCTTAAAAAAGACCTGTAGCTTTTTCATTATACAAACAATATATATGTGTTTTAGAGAAATTTGGAAACTAAAGAAAGTAAAAAGAAAAAATTGTTCATAATCCAGTCAAAACCCGTTTTGTGTTTTTGGTGTATCTCCTTATTATCTCTTTTTCCTCTGGATAATATTTTTATATATGAGTATGCATTTTCATATCTTTCCTTACACATTAGATCATTTTCTATATTTTAAATGCTTTATAAAAATAATTCTTAACTGCATAGTAGGATTCAGTGAATGAATAAATTCCTAATTCACTTAACCCTGAGTCCATGCTATGCTTGTTTTTTTTCTTTTTTAGGCCATGCTATGGTTTAATGAAAAGATGCTATTGAAAATATTTTCGTGTTATAATGTATTCTTTATCATTTTTACAGATCTTAGTCCCTGCTATGGTTTAATGAAGAGATGCTATTGGAAAGATTTTTGTGTTATAATGTATTCTTTATCATTTTTACCGATCTTGTTCTTATGTTGCCAGGTATCTTACTTTTAATAACCCATTTCTGGGTATTATGATTAAATATTCATGTAAGTCAAAATAGTTGGGCAAATATCTATCATCAGACATACATCTCTATTTTTTTATGAAATCAAATGGCTTGGACATTTTTTTTCTTTCAGGTAAGCTATACACTCAGCGTGGGGCTTGAACTCACAACCCCAAGATCAACAGTCCCATGCTTTATCAACTGAGCCATCCAGTCACCCTGGGAATTGTTTTCTTAAAGAAATTTTCTCCCCCAGATAATGTTGGTACACTATAACACTTTAATACCTTTTGGATACTCATTAAAGTGTTATTTCTCAAGGTACTTCCCCTTGGTAGTTGGAGGATAACATTTATTCCATAACTATTTCTCCGGTCACTATTTCCTTTTATCCCAATATAGGTTGTGTGTGCTGCTTTTGTTTCGATTGAATGTTGTCCTCCTGAGTGATGTAGTTGAGGACAGTATCAGACTTGAAATCACATGCACTCTGTGAACATAGTAAATATTAATTACTTAATTTAAAAAAGATTTTATTTTATTTATTTTAGAGAGAGAGAGACCAAGAGAGCACAAGCAGGAGGGACAGAGGAGAGGGAGAAAGAATCTGAAGTAGGCCTCCCCGCTGAGTGCGGAGCCCATTGTGGACCTTGATCTCATGACCCTGAGATCACAACCTGAGCCGAAACCAATTGTTGGACGCTTAACTGACTGTGCCACCCAGGCACCCAAGTAAATATTAATTTAAAAATGATGCTGCCTTACTTTAGAGAAAATGCTTAAGATTAATGGTAGCTTGCCAGAAATATAATGTAGAATAGTATTCAGCCTATGTCCTGTGGAATAGTCTCTCTTCACAGTGGCATCTAAACTTTTGTCTGCCCTTCCATTTCCAGGTTGCCATCACGAAAGCCAAAGTGGATTTCTCCAGTGTAGTGTGCCTGCCCCCTTCCGTCATTGCTGTGAATGGGCTGGACGGAGGAGGGGCTGGCGAAAATGATGACGAACCAGTGCTGGTGTCCCTGTCTGCGGCCCCCAGCCCCCAGAGCGAAGCTGTTGCCAATGAACTGCAGGAGCTCTCCTTGCAGCCCGAGCTGACCCTAGGCCTCCACCCTGGCAGGAATCCCAATTTGCCTCCACTTAGTGAGCGGAAGAATGGTGAGTACATACGGAATTATTGCATTGCTTAATTTGAACCAAGGTCTTCATGTTCTTGTTATAGATGATTACTTTATTTCATGTCTCTTGAAAGTTTCTTTAATCTTACTGTTTCTTATGAAATAGAGAAATAGGAAGTTTAGGTGATCATTATAAACCCTACATTTCCTGCCTGGGTTATTAAAACTGCTTTCTGATTTGTCTTTCTACTTCTCTGCTTCTCCCTCCCAGTCCCTTCCATAAATTCATTAATTCAGCAAATATTTATTGAACATCATTGTTATAAACTAAGATTAGGGGTTAAATGATAAATAAGCTTTTGTCATTAGGAAACTTATTCTATAGCTTGTCAGAGTAATCTTTTAGACCTCCCTAGCTTAATACTTTTCAGTGACTGCTTTATAGGATAAAAATAAAAGCCATGTTTTACAAGGCTTGCAGGGTCTGGTCTCTTTCTGTTTCATTAGCTTCTTCTCTTATCATTCCCCATTTTTAGTCTTTGCTTTTTAAGTTTTTTTAAAAAAAGATTTTATTTAGGGGCGCCTGGGTGGCTCAGTTGGTTAAGCAACTGCCTTCGGCTCAGGTCATGATCCTGGAGTCCCGGGATCGAGTCCCACGTCGGGCTTCCTGCTCAGCAGGGAGTCTGCTTCTCCCTCTGACCCTCTTCCCTCTCGTGCTTTCTATCTCTCATTCTCTCTCTCTCTCTAATAAATAAATAAAATCTTTAAAAAGATTTTATTTATTTATTAGAGCGAGAGAGCACACACCCATATTGTGAGTAGGGGGAGGGGCAGAGGGCGAGGTAGAGAATCTCAAGAAGGCTCCTTGCTGAACAGAGAGCCTGACAATTTGGGGCTCAATCTCACGACCCCATGACTCAGGTCATGAGATCATGACCTGAGCTGAAATTAAGTCAGACGCTTAACTGACTGAGCCACCCAGGCACCCTAGTTTTTGCTTTTTATTTTATTTTTAAAGATTTATTTATTTATTTTGAGAGAGAGAGAGAGAGCATAGAGGGGTGGCACAGAGGAAGAGGGAAAGTGAGAGAATTTCAAGCAGATTCTGAGCTGAGCGTGTGGAGCCCTGGGTGGGCCTCAGTCCCATGACCCTGAGATCATGACTTGAATCAAAACCAAGAGTCGGACACTTAACCAACTTTGCCGCCCACGTGCCCCAGTTTTTGCTTTTTAGTACTGTTTACAACCATGCACTCTTGCTTCAAACTTTTAATGAAAAAAAATTATAATTTGTTATAAAAACTTAAGGTTTCAGAAAAGGTGTAAATAGTAATATAGCAAATACTTATGTACTTACATGCCATCTGGCTTATGTACTGTTCTCCATGGAGCTCCGTCTGTCCCCAGGGTAACTGCTGCCCTGAATTTGATATTTTATGGCCAAGTAGTTCTGTATTTTTTTTAACATATTAATATATTCCTAATAATTGTAAGATATTATTTCTCATTTTTTATATCACATATATATTTATTGGAGAGAGAATTATATGTATTCTTCTGCAACTTGTGTTTACTCAAAATTTATTTTCCTGTGAGTTATTAAAGGTATTCTGTAAGTTCATCTCATCTCATCTATGAATCATTATTTATAAGTAGTCCTACTTTTCTGTACTGATCTTTAGTGTCAGCCTTACCTGTTTCTCAGTGTGCATGAGTTAGTTTTTATGCCCTTTGTTCTGTTTCACTGGTCTCTGTTCACCTCTGTGTTGTACTACATCATCTTAGTTACTGTTGCTTAATGATGAGTCTTGTTACTTGTTACGATAGTCTTTCCTTGCCTTTTCTGTCTCCAGAGTTGTCTTGGCTCTTCTTGCCCTTTTTAATTTTCCATAACTTTAGAATCAGCTTGTGGAGTTATGCAAAAACAAACAAACAAACAAACAAAAAACCAAAAACCTCATTTTTTTCTCCATTTTATTATGAAAAATTTCAAATACAGAGTTTTACAACGAATACCTTTATGTCCACCTCTTAAATTCTACCATTAACATTTTGTTATACTTACTTTGTAACATATCTATCTATCCTTCTATCAATCCATCGTATTTTTTACATTTCCAGGGAAATGGCAGACACTAGCACACTTTCATTTTATTGACGTATATAGTGTTAATATAGAATAACACACGAATTGTAAGTGTCCTGATTGTTGAATTGTCACAGAGCTTACCTACCTGTGTTTAATTGCTACTTTGTTAGGAGATATTCCTATAGCACCCATAACCGTCTCATGTGCTTCTTCCCAGTCAGTATCCCTTCTTTTTGCCCAAAGGAAACTACCATCCTCACTTCTAACACCATGAATTAGTTTTATTGGTTTCTAAACTTTATGTAAATGGAATCATGCTGTATGTGTTCTGTTGCTGTCTTGTTTTAAAATTCATTTGTGTTGAATTGTGTGTGGCTCTAGCTTATTTTCATTGCTATATAATTAATCCATTTTATGAATATAGTGGAATTTGTCCATTTTACTTTTGGTGGGTATTTGGGTTGTTTTAGTTTGGGGCTATTATGAATTATGAATCAAGAAACATAAAATTCTTATGTATGTCTTTTGGTGTACTTGTTGGGATTTTGATTTGAAATATATAATTTATAGGTTAATGGGGAGAACACACATTTTACATATTGGGTACTAGTTAGTTTTATCTGTCCATTAGTTAGGTTTTTTTTTTTTTAAAGATTTTATTTATTTATTTGACAGAGAGAGACACAGCGAGAGAGAGAGCACAAGCAGGGGGAGTTGGAGAGGGAGAAGCAGGCTCCCCACTGAGCTGGGAGCCCGATGCGGGGCTCGATCCCAGAACCCTGGGATCATGACCTGAGCAGAAGGCAGATGCTTAATGCCTGAGCCACCCAAGCGCCCCTGTCCATTAGTTAGTTTTATCTCTCCAGTTAAATAGGTCTTCTTTGATGTCTTTCCACAGAGCTTTACAATTTTCTCCATAAAGGTCATGCAAATATTTTATTTTTTTGCATGTGTCTTTTTTTTGGGGGTAGACATTATCAGTGGTATATTTTTATAAAATATTTTCTGACTGATGCTGGGGAATAGAAATACCAAACTTTTTAAAGTTTTTTTTTTTTTTTTTTTTTAGAGATTTTATTTATTTGACAGAGACAAAGCAAGAGAGGGAACACAATCAGGGGGAATGAGAGAGGGAGAAGTAGGCCTCCCACCGAGCAGGGAGCCCGACATGGGACTCGATCCCAGGACCCTGGGACCATGACCTGAGCCGAAGGCAGACGCTCAACGACTGAGCCACCCAGGTGCCCCGAAACACCAAACTTTTTCAAAACTCCCGTGACTCTTCTACATTTATGCCCTCTATTTGAGATACCACTCTGTCCCTACTCTTCTTGCCAACTCTTACTTGTCCTTCAGCATTCTGTTCAGGCATCATTCCCTTTAAGAAGCCTGTCCTAACTCAGTGTTAGGTATCCTTCTTTTGATTTGACCAATTACCTTTTATCAGTATACTTCATCACTGTATTGTAATTGGAATTCTCCTGTCAGCAGCATGAGTGAGCCTTTGGAAACTGAACTCAGACCCTGTTATGCTTCTCTCGCAACCCTCAGTGTCTTCCTGTGAAGGTTACGATGAAATCATAGGTTTTTGGTTTTTTTTTAAAGATTTATTTATTTAATTTAGAGAGAAAGTGAGAGAATGTGCCCTCGAGCTGGGGGAGGGGCAGATAGAGAGCATCCTTAAACAGACTACCCCGCTGAATGTGGAGCCTGATGCAGGGCTTGATCTCACAACCTTGAGATCATGATCCGAGCTGAAATCAAGAGCCAGATGCTCAACCAACTGAGCCACCTAGGCACCCCAGTATGATAGTTTTAATGATGTGGGCCTGGTATCCTCTCTGACCTGATTTTTTCTTATCTCTGTCCCCTCGCTTACTCTACTCTGATTTAGCCACACTGACTTTCTTGCTGTTTCTTGAACACATCAAGCATGCTTCTGTCCCAGGGCCTTGGTACTTGCTGTGCCTTTACTCAAGTTCCTGCACAAATGTCATTTCCTCAGGGAAGCCTTCCCTACCTGACTTATCTTAAATAGCACCTCCCATTACTCTCTATCCTCCTCTATTTTTTTCAAGCACTTATTATTATGGTGTGTGTGTGTTTGTATATGTGTGTGTATATGTTTATTGTCTATATTCCCCTGCCTTTGGTAGTTTGTTTCACGGGGCCAGTGGGCAACCGATAAATATTTGTCGAATGAATAGATGAATGGTTTACTTATTTGTTCCATTAGAGGCAAGAACTCTATTTTTACATCCATAGTGGGAAATGTAATGGAAACTCAAACAGTTTTTATTTTGGGAAATAATGGACACTCAAGCATTTTTTTGGTGTTCTTTTCTCATTTCTCATTTTTATTTTTCTTCCCCAAGATGGCAGAGACTTCAGCTTATTTATACGGTAAGGGGAAAGAGTCCGGAGGGAAAAGCTGAAGACAGAAAAGGCGAAAGGGTAACAGAGATGATGTGAGGGGATGGGATTTAAAGGTATTGGCTCTGCCTTGAGCACAGGTAAGGGCTATGATTCCTCTGGGGTAGGAGGAATGGTAGTGAAGGTGATGACAGATGGCAAACAGCAGACCGCTAAAATCTTGGGCAGGAAGTGGAGGAAATTGATGCTGACAGCTGTGTGGGTCTCAGGGGAGTCAAGAGCAGCTGTTGCAGGAGTGTTGGTGCATCTTCAGCCTTTCTCTCTGAACTCTTTAGCATATAAATCAGTTGAGCTTTTTCCCTATTTTGAACCAACAACTTTCTAACCTTCCTAAGATCCTGAAAGAGCAGGTTATATCATTCTACTTTCCCACATTCCAGAGACTTCACTGTGTTCTGGCTTCTGTCCCTGTCTCTCTTCAGAAACTGCCATCGCTGAAGTCATTAGTGTTCTTGTAGATCAAATAGGCACTTTTCATCCTGTTTGACCTCTTTGTAGCATTTGACATGATTGGCCAC